CTGGCTTTGGAATGGGAGGTGGATGCCTTTTACTGCAGAATAGAACCATTGGATCAGTGACTAGGACACCCTGCTACACTTGTCTTGCAACACTGGAGGCAGCGGGGAGCCCCACATTGGTAATATTTTGGGAGGTAGCTGGGCTTGAAAAAGCAGCACAGGGAGATGAGCCTGTTGAGTTACTTCCTCTCAAAAAGTTCGAACAGATAGCAATCTGAAGTTTGGAGTACCATTTGTGATCCCATCATGAAACAAACACTGCAGGGATCAAAAAAGCCGTAAGTTCAAGGTTCAAGTTTCATTTTTTCACCTAATTAGAAAGGATTCTCCTGCAGATGTTGCACACAGAAAATTGGTCTAATACACATGATATTGCAAAACTACTGATGAGGGGTGCATCAGTTATACAGTAAAAAAAGACCTGCATAAATCAAAGATTAATGGAAGGATTAAAGAGATGTTACATAGTATATCAGCAACAACAAAAATGGCAGTGAATGTATTAGATACCTTAAATACCATGACACAATACTGTAAAATATATGCAACAAATTTTAAAGGCAACGACAATGGAAAATTAATTTCACAGACAAATACAGAATTCCAGAAGGATGAAGAACAGTAAATGTATCTTGTGCACATCCTTTACATGCAATAACTGTTAAACACCTTATGGAATATCAGTTATGAAAACTATAATCCAAACAACTGGATGGGATTGAACAATATATGGAAAAAGCTTATTTTGAGGAGGAAGGCAACATGAGTTTTTAAAAGGGATATTTTTCTCAATTAACTAGCTAGTGTTCTTAAAGAATGTTATCACTACAGAGCATGCTTAGATGCTGAAAATATTATCTATTTAGATTGTATTAAAGCACTCAGCACAATTTCAGATTAATAACCATCAAGTGGAAAATGTCTCAGAAACTGGTAGCACCAATGCCACTTTCTAGGGTGAAAAGTGCTTATCAGAAAAGGAGCCCTTTCCCATTTTTCTATGTGTAATTGAGCTAGGCAACAACATCAGAAAAGAGCTGTACATACAAATGATTTATTTTGCTTATATACATGAAAGCATGAAAAGCATTCTTGGGGCCTGATCTAGGGAAATTTTGGAAATGAAAATTTTTCTACTGACTTCAGTGGGCTCTGGGTTGAGCACTTAATCAGTAGCCTTTACTGATTAATATGCAGAGCCATATTTTCTTGAGATGCTGATTTTATTATGTAAATTGCACAAAAATGGTGTTAGAAAATATAATTAATATTTTTGGAATTATCATATGTGTAATACCTCAGAGAGTATCAACAGACCTTTTCACAAACTAAACACATTAGTATCACCATTTACACCAACTCCTCATCCATCATGTGAATAATGAATGAATACATTTTTTAGTGTTTTTCCTTACAGGGTCATGGTTTAACAAGGTTAGCTACAAGGGTTTGTTTTATTTAATTTTGATGGCACTCTGTGGATCTCAGTTTTGTCTTTTAGTACTGTTATAGCTCTGGAGAAGTCAGTGTGCATCCTTTAGGCCAAACACCACCCGTATAATTAGACAAAACATCTTATAACTTCCATATTTTAATATGGAGGTTAAGCAGACAGAAATTACACTCACTCAGTCACTTGCATCAGATTATAAATTTCATGCTAAATCCTCTAATGTCTACAGACTGTATCCCCATCGTAGAGATGAAGGCAGTTGCAATCTGCTTTGCATTTTAGACAAGTTGGTAGCGCTACTGACAAATTGACAATGCATCTCTCATTAGGGTAAATCTGAGGCACCTTGGTTTAGTCCATTCATTGTCAACATTTATAATCCAGGAGAATGGCAAAACTCACTTGGAAAACTATACAATTCAAACTGCTGTTGTTAGGACTCTTTGATGCATATGTATCTTCATCAAACAAACACACGAACAAAATTTGGAGCATTTCTGTACACATTTTGGAGTGGATTAATTTAGTGGGCCTGCTTTAGAATTAAGCACCATACAACATGAGTAATAGTACCAGAATCTGGCCCCTGGATCAAGGACCAGAAAGATCACATTTCATTCTGGGTATATATTCTGAGTAGGAGACAAACTGATCTTTTGAGTTTCCTTTTCACCTGAACTACATCTGCTGAGCTAGTTTATCACAAAAGAAATGGGAACTCTGGGAATACATAGCTCCAACAGGCCCATTCATACTGTAAATATGTGAGACCATGGCTCTGGGTAAGCTTTTCAACATGTTCAGTAGCCGGATTTGATAGAATACAACCACTAGTTCTCATTGCACCTTTTAATTTGCTGCTGTTACTTGGCAAGTCACCTTTCAAAAGCCTCAGAGCAAGTGGATATCTGTTTGGCACACACAAAAGTTCTTTTCAAGGTTTTAGTGAAAGGGTAAGGTATGGTCTGCAGCTTAATGAAGCTATAAAATAGGGACATATCTTGCCAGAAAATATTCATGACCTAGTACACTGACAAGAAACTGGATGAAACTCTGGTCACTACGAAATAGGGGCTTGTGTTTTAATTGAAACCAACTACAGAGACTAAAAAATAACTGTGCAGCTATGTTATATTTGCAAAGCCTAAAACTCACTTGCAAAGATTGCAACTACTTTCCATTCCAGATTAGAGCAAAGCAACACTTGCATAACAAACACCCAAACTGTTCAAAGCTCAGGCCAGGTTCAGTGAAAGGTCTGGGCAAGTTTTGGCAAACCTTGTAAGTGTTTGGGGTGCCGAGGGATTAGGAATTTATGATTTCATGTGGCAGCAACGTGAAACTTCATAGATTCACAGATTATAAAGCTAGAATGGATCACTGTGATCATCTCGTCTGATCTGTATAAAACGAAACTTGCCTGAATTAACTTCTGTTTGAACTACAGCATGTCTTTCAGAAAGCATTCGCATTTCCCCTGATTGGGCTGAGTTTCACCTTGAGGTTGAACCTGATGCTTCAAGGAAGAACTCATAGGTGTGAGCCTAAGTAGACTAAAACAATAGTACCACATGCATCCACATGAATCTTCTGCAAAGTGAAACTGCAGAGCTCTGCCCAGTTATAATACTGATGCCGCTTTCTATGATGCCACATGATCTTTTGGATAACTAACTTCTTAATGTGGCCAATAATGGAGATTTTTTGCATCAAGCTTTAGAGAGGGTTTCAAAATCTCAGTTAATAAATATAAATTGTGCCCGGTCTCAGCAGTCTGGTTATATCTTTCCTGTCCCGCTTTATTTCCTCACAGCACCTGTTATTTCATTTCTTGGAAGATGAATAATAAGAATATAGCATGTGTCGATATCTTGCTTACCAGTAGACACAGAAGGTAACATAGGGTATGTCTACACTACAAAGTTAATTCGAACTAATGGACGTTAGTTCGAAATAACTTTGGTAGGCGCTACACTAGCGCTCCGCTAGTTCAAACTTAATTCGAACTAGCAGAGCGCTTAGTTCGAACTAGGTAAACCTCATTCTACGAGGACTAAGCCTAGTTCGAACTTACTAATAGCCCCTTAATTCGAACTAGTGGGAGGCTAGCCCTCCCCAGCTTTCCCTGGTGGCCACTCTGGCCAACACCAGAGAAACTCTATTGCCCCCCTCCCGGCCCCGGACCCCTTAAAGCGGCACGGGCTGGCTACGATGCCCGTGCCAGGTGAAAGCCTGCCAGCACCCAGCCAGCAGACCCTGCACCTGGCACGGCTCG